AAGGCTGAACTATAGGAGACTGCCAAATTCATCTGTGTTTTTACCTATAAGCTGGTGATTTTAAGCAAATATTCTGCAAATGTGGAGGATTTCTAGAAATATGGTGTTAATAACTTCTATCAGTTTGGAGATCTGTATCCTCTACTCTCTCCTCCATTGCTACTACTGAAAATATTGCTTGTTTCTCCCTCAGATATGTGAATTTGAGAAAAAAAATAACATTCTTGGAGATAATCATAGCCAAATGAGTTTTAAACTGAAACAGTAAGGATAAATACCAATGGACTGGTAACAGACACAGAAAAATGGGAATACATGCTTGCTTTGGTTTTATTACTATTAACTAATGAAGCAGACCAAAACACTGCAAAGAGCTCTATGTTCTAAATGTGATTATAGTCTTAGCTTCATTATGAACTGCTCATGAAATCACAAGTGGAGTTCACTGGGCCTCAGTTTTCCCAGCTGTGGTGTGAGGGGCTGTGCTACCATGGTCTTGCAGATCTTGCTCTGTTCCAATAGTTTCTGACTTGTATTACTAATGAGCTACAATCATCAAGTGATCATAACCAAGAAGGAAACACGAAAGTCTCCTAAGGACGTCACAGATTTGTATTAACAATGTAAATAAAATTCCACCCTGCAGAAACTCAAAAACAATTTTCCAGAGAAAAGCAAGAGTTAGGCTAAACAAAATTGTAACAAAGTGACATTGGCCTGAGTTCACCAAGGAAGCCAAGAAGGATAAACTGCAGAAAAAATGAAAAAGAAATAGTACTGGTCTCAAGTATAGAAGTCAAAAGCTTTCTAAATAGGTGTCAAGTGGCTTCTACAAAGCTGACTTAAGAGTTAATGCCACTTGAAAACATGAAGGCAGGAAGTCTAGTGTAAAAATTGGGTCCAATTTGTCCTTTCATTAGATTATGGCCTCTATAAACACAATTCCCTATATTTATACCAATGTGGGCAAATCAACTAAAATCAAATTTATTCATAATGTAAAGCCTACTTGTATCTATAACAATTTGATTCACAGCAACTCAGTATAAAAACTATCTTCTATAAAGCCTATGATCATGAAGGTAATTGTGAAGGAGTTTATAAAAAAGGAAAAGCATGCACAAATGAAAAGCAGAGAGAAAACACATAGTGGGAAACTAACAGAAGTAATTAAACTGAAAATAGTTTACAGGCACCTTGTAGAAAGTGTGTTCCCTTCCCACTAATTTTCCCTCTGCTATAAAGAGAAGCATAAAATCGATTTCTTACAGCATAAAATTGGTTCTATGTTTTAGAAAGGAAAACACAGGGTATTATAGGCATTTTCTACGCTGATTTATTCTTTTCAAATGATTGCCAGAAAATTAGATTTCCATTTCTTTGTCTAGTCATTCATGCTCTTTCTTGGGGATTTGCATGAAAATAAGAGAGCTGGAAAGAACTCAGCTGAAGAATAGAGCAAGTGGAGAATTTGTATAGATGTATATCAATCATTGGAGACCCATGTATATATATATAAAACGTTAAGAAGGCATAATTAGACCAAATGTCTATATTTTGCAAAGATTTCATTTTGCAGTCTGTTAGATTTCCATGCACAAGTTATCACAGCTGTGAGATACCAACTCAAAAACATGCATGTGATACTTTTAAATGAACACACCAGGGGACTATGAAGCTACTAATTTCTCACTTTTTTTCTGTAGCCACACATGCAAAAAAGTGAAAATATGTCCCTAAGATCTTTTGGGCTTTTTCAAATCACACAATTTTAAGATGCATTTTCTTTTCTGATGAAATAGATTATTTTAGAAATATAGATAAAAAAATTTCCCTTTAGAGCAATGCAAGCTAGTGAGACAATAAGCACTGGATAACTCATCATATAGAAACACAGGGCTATGCATTTTCATGCACACCACATAAACGGACATGAATAGCATATACACTTGACTAACAAATGTTAATCCTCCTCACTTGTAAAGTCTCTAAAACAATTACACTAAACCATTCCCTTTCTTGTATGATCTACAGAAGCTGTTTTAACTTATACTATTAACTTACACAATGCTAATAATAAAGTTCCAGAGCTTTCTTAAAATTCAGAAGATGTTTTGGTTAGAAACCCAAAACTACTGAATTGTAAACTATGGGAAGGCAGGAGTCTCATCTTTCTTATCTCTATCCTTAATGCTTTCAATATAGCATATCTTCAATAAGAATTTGTTACATGAATCAAGTCAACTATTCCAGCCTTTTGATAATGGGGTTGTATCATTAACTACTCGAGGGTACTTCAAAAAGTTCATGGAAAAATAGAATTAAAAGATAATATGAATCTTTCCATGAACTTTTTGAAGTACTCTTCTATTTTACATCTGAATGGGCATGCCTCACTTAGACAAAAGAGATGTCTGTCAAAGGCTGCTGTCATATTTTGTTAGATACTGAAATGTCACTTTAAAAATCACTTTAGGATTTGCTGAAACCTTTTAATACCTTTCTGCCTTAGAATATACGTATGAACTTCCAAATGCACCTATCAAACAAAATCTAAGCCTCAAGAAGCAATGACAAAAGAGCCACTCATTCATCTACAAGAAAGACTGGCAAACGATAGTGAATAGGCACAATTTGGCCCATAAGTTAAGAATGATCTTTACGTTTTTTTTTTTCCTTTTTGTCTTTTTTACTGACCAGTAACGGGATCGCGACCCTTGGTGTCACGCCTGTACCGGGGACCGGCAACGGGATCGCAACCCTCGGTGTTGCGCCCGCACCGCGCTCAGCCAGTGAGCGGGAACCGGTCTCCACATGGGATCCGAACCCTCGGCGGGAGCGCCGCCGCGCTCCCAAGCGGCGCACTCTCCAGTGCGCCACCGGGCCGGCCCAATCTTTACGTTTTTTAATGGGGTAGGGAGAATGCTCAAAAGGAGAATAAAATTTCATGACATGTGAAAATTATATGAAATTCAAATTTCAAGGTCCATAAATAAAGTTATGTTTGTTTTGTTCTTTGTTTTTAGCAGCTGGCCAGTATGGGGATCCGAACCCTTGACTTTGGTGTTATTAAAACCGAGCTCTAAGCAACTGAGGTAACCAGCCAGCCCAATAAAGTTTTATTGTAACAGCCACTCTCATTTGTTTACGTATTATCTATGGCTGCTTTTGTGCTACAATCATAGAACTGAGTAGTTGCACATTAACTATATGGACCAGAAAGCCTAAATCATTTACCACCAGTACTTTACAGAAAAAAAGTTTACCAATCCCTATGCTAGATGGTCAGAACTTTTCCTGTTAATTGAAAAAAAAAAAAAAAAAAAAAAAAAAAAAAGACAGGAAACAGTATTGCAGAGCAACTGGTTCAGCATATGTTACTGTTTTCTGGAGTCATTTTGGCTGAGTCAAACTTTTCCAAAGTGAGAGGCAGGCATTTCTTCACACCATAGCATAGCATGAGGCACTTAGCCCCTCTGGTCTGTAAATGATGTTACAAGTTTCTGTTTCTTTAATCCCTGTTGTAAGATTTTATGAAAACTAAATCAGTTTTTTACTTAAATATATTAACATATTTTTCCATTGAATATCACAAAAAATCCATATGATTGGCAATGGAAATTTTGTCTACAACTCTGAGTTCTAATTTTCCTTTGGGATACTCTGTGTTCCCAAGGAACCACCAGATTAAGCTTTCTGCTCATATTTATATATAATACCATATAATTACAATCTGAAAAACTTTCATGCTAAAAGTAAATTGGTGAGATCCCTTCTGGTCAAAAATGGTCTTAAATGCTCAAGTAGCCTCAAGTCCTTTGAAGAGGGAGCATGCTTCTTTTTCTATCCCTCTGTTACCCATCCCACTTTGTAGCAGACAGGTGTTTGCAGGATGTCTCCTTACTACCAGAGATGCACTCCAGTCTCCTCGATTGCATTTATGTTGATTAAAAGAAGAAAAATGAGCCCTCTTTATTACATTTTCCGTAGCTAACTCCCTATAGTCGCTAATAACATATCACAAAACAACCATTATTTATTGTTCATTGCATTTCTATTGGGAAAGATAATCTTTGCCTTAGGCAAGATGATTTTGGCTTCATTTCTTTTTGCTAGAGGTGTACAGTTGAATGTTTGAATTGCTCACATGGGCTCAAAATATATATATTTTACATTTAACTACAGAGACTCTGGCAATACTTTCAGTAGCCATACAATACCTTAATTAAGCTAACAGGTGATTATTCTTAACCACAGAAAGGTAAGTACAAATAGAGTCCTGGTTTGCCAATTTCTCATCCTCTCATAAGAACTATTGTATTCTTGTTAGTTATAAAACAGCATCATCGAAGATCCAAGAGTCAAGATAAAACTTAACACATAAATAGGTTATATGTATATTCTAATATGGTTGCAAAATCCAGTCCCATTTATATAAAAATGTATAACTGGAAGACAATCTAGAGCAGGGATGCTAAAATATGGCAATGTGATGCTACTTTGTTCTTCTGCATCCAGACATTTTCCCAATGAGCATGCTCAGGTCTCAGAATCCTTCTCGACACAGCACCCACACAGCTCACTTTATAATAAAACCTACTTGCTATCCCTAGTCTACAGTGGTATTTCCAAAAATGGATTGTGTGCATCCCAGGAGATGTACCAGACAATCCACTGGGATGAAGAAAGATTTTATATTTTTAAATATACAGAGTATTACTCAAATAGAGTATGTACGCAAAATTCTTTTATTGTTAGATGTGTATGGATCAGGGATCCAGAGAAGAAGGGTGAGTCTCTTAAGTGGTGTTCCTTAAAGGGAAGGTTATGATAAGAGATATAAAGGTTGAAATTGAAAAAGGAGTGCCACAGCAGCTCATCTGACCCTGCTGTGATACGCTGCCTCACGTTATTTTCTGCATGGCCTGTCAATCACCCTATTGCTGACTCAAGTAAGTCACCCTGGCTCATGCCTCCCGAAATGACTTTGACACACTCACTGTTTCTGAAGTAAGTGCTGGTGTTGCTGCTGCTGCTGCTGCCTGTAGGTTTCAATTGTGTGCTGAGGAAGGTACTGCATGAGTTCCAGGGACTCTTTGATCTTCAACAGCATCTCATAAGTCTCACGGCCCCTCACCTATGTAAGCAAGCAGAAGGAATGATGGGGAAAAATGAAGAGCTGGAGAACTGTTAGAAATGCAGTCAATCCTCACTACTCGTGGATTTTGTATTTGCTAGCCTACTTGCTAACATTTATTTGTAACATGAAAATCAATACTCTTAGTGCTTTTGAGTCACCTGTGCATGTTCTCAGCAAGGTCAAACAAGGAAATGTTCTGTTTTTGTGTCTGCTCTCATGCTGTAAACAAGAGTCCTCTTCATAGTCTAGTTAGTGCCACATTTTTCACATTTTTGTGCTTTTTGTTGGTGATTTTGCTGTTTAAAATGGCCCTCTAATGTGAAGTGCTGTTTAGTGTTCCTAAGTGCAAGAAGGCCATGCTGTGCCTTACAGAAAAATACATATATTAGATGGGTTTTACTCAGGCATGGGTATGGTGTTGTTGGCCATGAGTTTAATGTTAATGAGTCAACAGTATATATTAAACAAAGTGTCTTTACACAGAAACACACAAAAAATAAGGTTATGCATTGATCTGTTACAAAGTGTTATGACCAGAGGCTCACAGGAACCTAATCCTACATTTCCCCTAGAAGCAATGATTCAGTACTGATACAGATTTCACAGTGACTTTATAAAACAAAGCTACCACAAAAAAATGAGACTTGACTGTAACTATCTCTGGAAGGACAAAGTTTTCAGCTGGGAAGAAAAAAAAATGTTTTTCTGTTTAAAAAAAAAAGTCTTTCAAAAGCTTTAAAAAGTATGATCAGGGCCAGGTCTAGGGTGAGGCAGGAGAGGCCCTTAGGGTGCTTGAGGGTCCTGAGAGTGGCTGCCTATTTAAACTTCGTACTCCAGGCACTTTACCTGCCTTACTCCAGTCCCCACCTGGAGTACTATATGCAGAACTTGTCAGAATTCAGAAATGGTAAGATTTTCTCTACCTATTGTTGGGTTAACGCCTGCTCAACCTAGCTCTGGGGTCCCTCTTCTGAGAAACTTTTCCTGACCTTATTCTTGATGTCTGCATCTGTGGTCCTTCCTGTGTGCTCCCTACAGCTCCATGACTAGCTCTGTTGAAGCATTTATCAAAAATTTTTGTCTTTGTCTTTGAGTCTAGTTTCATTTTTCTATATATATGGATGTCCAGTTTTCCCAGCACCATTTATAGAAGAGGCAGTCTTTTCCCCAATGCATGGTCTTGTTGCCTTTGTCAAAGATTAGTTGGCTGTAAATCTGTGGGTTGATTTCTGGGTTCTCTATTCTGTTTCATTGGCTGGAGTGCCTATTTTTATGCCAGTACCTTGCTGTTTTGGTTACTATAGCTTTGTAGTACAGCTTGAAGTCAGGGAGTGTTATGCCTCCAGCTTTAATGTTTTTGCTCAGGATTGCTTTGGCTATTTGGGGTCTTTTGTTGTTCTACGTGAATGTCAGGATTCTGAGAAGAATGTCACTGGCATTCTGATGGGGATTGCATTAAACCTATAGATTGCTTTGGGTATTATGGACGTTTTCACAATGTTAATTCTTCCAATTCAAGGGCATGGAATGTCTTTCCATCTTTTTGTGTCCTCTTTAATTTCTTTCAGTAGAAGGCAAACTCTTTGGTAGGACACCATTCTTACTTTCAATCTCTAAATGCTCAGGCTCTAGTATATTCACCACTCAAAAAATACCAACTAAATACATGTTAAATTAATAGAGGTTCCCCCCCACCGAAATTTAATTTGACTAATTCTTTTCTATGTAACTTATTACAGGGTACCTCTTCCATCAGTACAAACTGATATTTTAAAATAGCTTTTCAAATAGTCCCTATCTCATCAGCTGAAAATACATGAAGCCTTTTGAAATATCCAATATATGAGGTACTGTTTTACTTAAAGGTCACAAGTCAGTTTCCATTTGTATCCTGAGAAACAAGACACTGAGAATCTCAACTAACTGCCTGTCTGATTGGTCTAGCAGCAGCCTATTCCCCTGGGGGTCAGGCCCCAAAGAAGGTGGGAAAAAGGCACGGCACACCCAGACCTGTTGAGTAGCTTCATCTTCAATCCCAGGGTGGCACGGTCAAATCTCCTGGCCCAGCCTGCCTGTTCTCATGTCAGTTTAAATGGCATCAAGGCTATACTGGTCACCAAGACTTTACTGCCACTCTAGTTGGCAAAGACCTAATGTAGTTAAATATTCTACAAACTGAAACTGTAGTCTAATAAAGGGACTTATTAATGACCTCAAGGGGGCTAATGTTCCTTGTAGGAGTGAATTATGTTCTTACATAATAATTGGGCAGAGCTTTCTGGCCATTCGTGTATAATTGAGGATTCTGCTTTGCTTGGCTTTTTTTTTTTTTTAATAGCACTCTCTAAAAGAAATCACATTCAACTCTCCATAATTGCTATATTATCAACTTTGTGAACTCTTTCCGACAACATTTTAGGTCTAAATTGCTATAACCACACTGTCTTGGATAATCTTATCATTCTTAAATAATGGAGTGCAAGTTAATTTTAAATATTGGGGTAAGAAAAGTTTTGTTGGGAAGGTAGTTCTGATTGGGTGGGTGAGTAAGCAGATGAGTGTACACTGTCAATACATTCCAAAACTGTGGAGGAGAAATAATCTCCTGATTTTTCAAATAATATATTCTTTCTGCTTTATCTTACTACCCACCCCCATCACTATGGACTAAATGTTTATGTCCCCCCCAAATTCATATGTTGAAATAATAACCGCCAATGTGATGACATTAGGAGGAAGGGCCTTTAGGGAATAATTTAGGTCATAAGGGTAGAGCGTTCATAAATGGAATTAGTGCCCTTATAAAAGAAACTCTAGAGAGCTCTATAGCCCTCTTTCTGCTGTATGAGGATACGAGGAGAACATGGCAGTTTGCAACTAAGAAGAGGGCTCTCACCAGAACCCAAGCAGACTAGCAAGTTGATCTCAGACTTCCAGCCTCCAGAACTGTGTGGAAATAAATCTCTTTTGTTTATAAGCTACCCAGTCTATGGCACTTTGTTGTAGCAGCCCCAACTAACTAAGACACCTCCTTTCCCATTGCTACATGTAATTGGAAGATGACCACATAGCAAATGCTCATTACAAGAAGGTTAAAATGAGCCACTATGAACACCCAAGGGAGACTCACTGGTAAGTATAACAGTTCATCATCTGGGGATCTTCGTTTCTTGATGGATGTCATCTGGATGCCATGTGTGTTCTGACGAAAAGCTGGTAGGAGAAAAGTGCAAGTTTCACCCTGGGAACATTTCTAAAGCAATAATACATATTAAACATATTTAATAATACATATTAACCAGACAGTAGCACCAGCAGCACCTGTGAAATTAGAGATTCTAGTCCTAAGCATCCATTTAATTGGTGATGATTGTTTCTATGTTAAGTGTCATCTTAGCAATAATGAAATAGGGAGAAGGTGAGGAAGAATAAGTAAAAGAAAGAAATGAAGGATGCTTGGAAATGGCCTCTGGTTTAAGAAATGCTGCAGGAAATGCTATGTCTTGTTGGTGTGTGTCTGTAAAGAGCTGTTACGAAAAGGAAGATAAATTGGTTTTGCATTTAATTTTTCAGATTGTTCCTCTTCCAAAAAGGTTGTAGAGGCTGTCTTTCCGATGGTAAAATAAGTGAATAAATGAGTGATAAATTCCTAAGGTTTTCCAAATTAGAAACTACACCCAATTTACAGTGAATAAAGATGCTCCTTCTACCAAAATCCAGATTAATCCATTCTCATTGAAAGTCATTGATTTGTAGGTAATTGGGGTGCTCAGGGAAGAGTTTAGGAACTATGCTACCAGGTAGACTCAAGTAAAATGAAAGAGGAATTATATCACACAAACATACATTCATATACATACACATAATTTTTATCATATATATCAGAGAGAGAAAGAACCTAACAGGAAAAGCACTGAACAGTTAGAAGTTAATGCTGATAGGTTCTCCTGTAAAGTACAATACAATTTTTATTTATTCTGGATACTAATCAATAAGATTAAACCCTTTTCCATAAAATAGGTCATATGATCGTATACTTTGAAATACTTGTTGTAGCGATATTAGGCTTATGCTAAGCACTTTCTACAACAGAATTGTATTAAAGATTAGAAGCTCTTGTGGATTAGTGGCTTTCAATTTGTTACGTGTTGTTGTTGGACTCTGTGGAGTTGTACCTCATCAGCAAGGAGTGATTGAAGGTAGGACATGGCACAACAGACCACCCTAACTCCCACCCCTCCAACTGGAGCAGCTCTGCTTTGATTTATTTTGCATTATAGATTCCTTGAAATTTTTCACTTTAAAAAAGCTTTCACGGGCCGGCCCGGTGGCGCACTGCTGTAGTGCGCCGCTTGGGAAGCGCGGTGGCGCTCCTGCCGAGGGTTCGGATCCCACATACAGACTGGCCGCTCACTGGCTGAGAGAGGGGCGGGAGCAACACCGAGGGTTGCGATCCCGTGGCCGGTCCCGGTCTGGTATGGGCGCGACACTGAGGGTTGCGATCCGTTGCCGGTCACGAAAAAAAGACAAAATGGAAAAAAAAAAAAGCTTTCACTGATTAAAAAGGACAAGTTTGAAAAAAACTGATGAGATAGATGAGGCCCCAAGAGGGTCAAATGTGAAAGTCAAGACTCGATGAAACAGATCTGCATACTCCCTAGACTGTGCTTTATGAAATACGTCCTTCAATCTCACTGTTGCCATAGAGTCATGAGGTGGGCAGGTTAATAACAGCAAGATAAACTGATACTAATAGGCTAAGATACTGGTTCTCAAACTTTAGCTAGCAATAGAGTTACCTGGAAAGCTTACTGAACAGAGATCACTGGGCCTCCTACTCAAAGTTTCTGATAAAGCAAATCTGGGGCCTAAGAATTTGCATTTCTACCCAGTTTCTAGGTGATGTTGATGCTACTGGTGTGGCAGTCACATTTTGAGGACCCCTGGACTAAGACATTTTCACACTGACTATTTGCTTTTGTCAAGCTGTAGTGTGTACCTGGAGTCCATTTCAGCACCTATTCCCTCTGGCTCTGGGTCCTCAAGTCATACTTGCTGCTAAAGCTAATAGGTCTTGTCATGCAACATCTCCAATTCACCCCATCCCAATATCTGGAGGAGACTCAACCATACCCCACCATTTGGCCACTACATCTACTTACGGCGCTTCGTACCATCGCCGTTCTTTGTGCTGTCTGAAACTTGCTGCTTTCTGATGCTGTCTTCATCTGCCTTCCTGTCTCTTCCAGGGCAAGCACAGATCCGGGCCTCAAAGCAGCGTCGGCCCAGGACTTGCCCACTAGGAATTTGAAAAGAGGGACAGAAAGAGTTACATTCAAAGAAAGTTAAAGGTCCCTTGGCATTCTCCTGTTTTCATTTCTGATGCTGGCCATCCCCAGTGCACCATCCCCACCAGCTCAGCTTTGGCTGCTCCGCGGATGGACCCCAAAGCACTTGGCAGAACACAAAAGTGCTTACATGCCACAAGCAATACTAGTAAATAACATTCCATTTGTTCTGCGAAGAACCTCCAAGCCATTAGCCGAACAGCTGTATTTAGCTACTTATTTTGAAGGAAACTTGAGTTAAACCAGTGGATGTCTCAGATAAAATCCCCTTAGGCAGCCCAGACACACTCAAAGAGACTGAATGCTCTGGGGGCCACATGAAAACAAACACTGTCTAATCAGAATCAATTCCAGTCAAATGTCAAGAATTCAGGTGTGAAGCAACTTGCACACCTTCCCAGCTCTTTTTTTCTCTCCCTTTACCCACCCTCTTCTGTCTCCACTTTTTAGATCTTTTATGTAAGTGTTTGCTGCAAGGATTTAAAGCACAAAGGACAAAATCAAGGGGAGCTCTCTGCTGTACACGCAAAATTAATGGAAAGCAGACACAATTTCACTTTGCCCTCTGCCCATGCTTTTCTGTAGAATGACAGTTCTACATATGCCACTTACTCTCTGGTTTCCAGAGTAACAATGATTAAAATTGGACGGCGATTCATCCCTCCAACACAACTGCTGTTACACATGAAATTGTACAAGACTGTCGTGAATTCAGTGCCAACCTGAGCATGGGGGGGAAAAAAATCTGTGTTAATAATGATTTGAACTGATCTTTTTCCTTCTCAGTTCTTTCCTTTATTTACAGAACTCCATTTCTGATGAAGTGATATTCTCCCTTCTGGAAAGGCAAACTCTGAAACCCATTATAGTTTTCTCTTTGCTTTGCCTCCTGGGAAGCTTAAAGCTAATGTTTGAAACGTTAGATACTACATTAGGGGAGACAGGCTTTAACAGATCATTGATTTTTGACCCTGTTCATTTGCAAGCTGATCCACATTACCCTACTCAAATAGGCTCTACTACATACATGAATGTCACTAAAAAGAGAGAGCTGAAAAAAATTGCCCCAAACAGCAGCCGCACTCCACGGATATTTTCCCTACGTGTGTAAAGGAGCGTAACATAGGAGTATACACTTCCATAAATAAGAATCTGGAGCTCAAAATGTCCTCAGAGTTAAATCATCTAGTCCAAAGTGCTTATTCATGGGCCAGGCAACAAGCCCAGAGAGGGAGAGTCACATGCCAAAGGTGCACACAGCAAGCCAGCAAACCAAAGCACTTTGGTCTCATTACTCCCATGTACTTTCTACCACACAACTCCACTGTGCACAACAGATTTACACATCTGTATCTGCCATATGTTCATTCAAACTTCAGCTAAGAGGTCCCTCTTAGGCTCTTGCATTTACAGACTACTCGCATCCAGTTTTGGTGCACATCTACTACCAGCTGGATAAAACAATGCCGTGTATATACCAAATTGCCAGTTCAATTATTATCGGCCTTTAAGATGGGAACATGTGGGGCTGGCCCAGTGGCACACTGCTATAGTGCGCCGCTTGGGAAGCGCGGCGGCGCTCCCGCCGAGGGTTCGGATCCCACGTGCAGACCGGTACCGGTTCCCGCTCACTGGCTGAGCGAGGCGTGGGAGCAACACCGAGGGTTGCGATCCCGTTGCTGGTCCTGGTCCGGTGCGGGGGCGACACTGAGGGTTGCGATCCGTTGCCGGACATGGAAAAAGACAAAAAAAAGGGAAAAAAAAAAAAAAAAAAAAAGATGGGAACATGTGCACAGAGCCATGTTTGTTACCAAGGTAATTCAGTATATATTTAGAAGTTTTGAAGGGGAGGCATGTGGAAAAGAGAAAGAGAAGAAACACAGAAAGAGGTTACATATTTGATGACAAGAACTGAGTAACACAGATGCTAAAAAAACTTCCCGTCACTGAAACTAAGGCTCTCTCAAGTCTGCCTGGTACACACACACACAATTTTATTTTTCTTTTACCTGGGGTGGCTCATAAGGCACCAGCACACTCTGTCTTCCTGTGATGGGATCTTCTACATATTGGGCATGGCTGTTCCCTTCTACTCGAATCAAATGACTAGGAGGGGCAATTTGACCTGCAAAACAACAAAGAAAAAAACAAGCTGTTCTTTACCCTCACAATAAAGAAAACAAAATGAAACTGCGTGGACAGAATGTTGGTGGCAAAAGAAATGATCTGTGTAATAAAGGAAATATATACATCCCTGAAAAAAGGAATAGATCCTATTGCCAAGACACCTTACCAGGTATCTCAACTTTTATATCAACAGAAAGAGCTGGAATGCACTTCTAATATTTAAGGGAACAGCACTATGCTTTGGAGTTTAAGGTTAATGATTCAACCTTTTATAGAACTCTATGATTACATCTCTGATTTCATCCATGGAGGAAATTTTGCACTTCCTTGGAAAATGAAAGGAAAAGGAGCGAGTTAATTAAAAAAAATGAATTTCACTGAGAAAATGCTACCCAAAAATCTGGCTAGCAAAAATACTAAATAAGAAGCAGAAGATAGCAAGGATATGACTTCCAGTGTGCTTATTCTTTTGTCTTTCTCCACCTTTAGACCTTGCTTTTGTCATAAAGACAAAAAAGTTTTCTGATTTTACTATGCTGAAGGAGTCTCGGGTTGGGGACCAAAAAAAAAAAAAAAAACCAGAAGTATTACAAAGGGCCTATTACAAAATTGTGATACCTAGTGGAGCTCAAAAAGAAAGAAGATGCTCCAAGAATTGGGAGCCATAAAGCTGATCTTAACTTTCGGCCATGTAGTCTCTCTTTGCATAGACTAGTCAATGAAAGTAAAAAGCTAAGTGTATCAAGGTGTCCTCTACAGCATCATCTATTATGGTAAAATCTAAAAAGAACTATTATGTCAATAAAATGAGAAAAAAATGAAATAGTATGTCATCTTTGATGGAGCACAGGCAGTTAGGTAAACAGATAATGAAGTTATTTTACACAAAAAATTCTTTATGGCACATTAAACGAAAAGCAAGACACAAAAGTATAAATAATGCATCTACGTAGACAAGGACTAGAAGTTAACGTGTAAAAAGTAGTTGTGTTAAGGAGGATTTGACTATTTTCTCCTTTTAAATGTCTATGCATTATCTTTATCCCTCCATTAATTTTTCTACAGTATACTATAATCTCTATATTTACACATTGTAACTACCTACCAATCTTTATGCTTTTAACATTTTTTCTATAAAGTATCCTCACCCACCTGCAAGTTCATCACTCTGATTATACTCTATACTTTCTCCTGTCTTTCCTTTCCAATTTTCAGTACTCTCTACTTAGTCTCTTTTCACAGAACCATAACAGACCTAAAGCCTTGGAAGCAGTGACCTCTTCTGCAAAGCTGTTGTTGAATCTGAGGCGCAGAAGCTGGGGCAAGGCTTTTCCACAAATACAGAGCTTAAAGCTGGCCCCCAAGATACCTGCTCCCCTGACTCCAGTCTTTCATTTGACTGCCCTCCTTTTTATGTTCTAGATCTTCTATTGACTGCTCTCACCCATTTTTTTCCCTCTTATTTCTTTTACTTCTTTCCTCTTGTCCTCTGTCATTTTTTCATTATTTCTTTCCTTTTATGCTCCTTCCTCTTACACCCTTCCAGCTCTCAACCAGTCTAGACTTGAAAGTCATTTTGGGAAAGGCACTAAAGCTGAAGGATATACCATAGCCCGGGGCAAGTGGAACAGCTACCATGTTGCACTCCTTACACCCTTTCATTTAAAAGAAAGAAAGAAAAAAAAAAGCAGTAGGGCACAGAGAGACCAGTCCAGGTCATCTAATAATTACTAATATGAAATTAAGTATTTCAATCATTGTGAAAGCCATACATTTATCATTATCTTTAGATAATATGTTAGCCAAAAAGACAGACTGAGCTGCCATTAGACTGCAGAAGACTGAACCAGGTAGGTGAGTCCACAACAAAAATGCCCATAGGATCTTTACCTTCAATGAGTGTAACTGAACAGTTATGGATTCCAATTTTCCTTACCCTCATTGAATTCGCGGCTCAGCTCGTGGTTGGGGCACCGTTTCACCACCTCGGTGACATGCTCAGCTTTCTTGTAGACGGGCATGGCACGGATGACAGCGCCCTGAGGAGGTGGGGTCATCACCTTGATCTGGATGGGGCATGTCTTTGCAATTTGGCAGTACAGTTTCTTCAGTTCAGTGGAATACTGCTTAGAGATGGCGCCGGTGGTGGAGGGAAGGAGAGAACCAACAGGAGATATTGTCACATTCCAAATCAGAACCAGAAAAATATGTCTGCTTTTTATAGCTGCATGTTTACAACTGGCTACTACATATATGACATCTGGCAATCTTATTAGAAGTTATATTCACAAATTATTAGAAGTTATATTCACAAATTAAATCTTTTTTTTGCTGTTTTAAATAAAATCCTATGTTTACAAAAGGTTTCACATTTATCAAAACACATCTATGCTATTATTTCCTGTTATCTTCTCTTTAGGATGAAGAAACTGAGGCTCAGAGGGATTTAAATGATTAATACCTTAAACAGCTTCATAGATTACCAGAAACTAAATGGAAAAACCATGTTTTTTTTTTTTTTTTAAATGTATTGAGTGATAGTAAACAACAAACCATAAAGACAGTTTTCTGCTTAGCAGATTATAATTAATCCTGCCCTTACAATACTCTAGAGAGACTCATAGGAATTAGGGTTTGTGAGATTTTTTTTTAAGATGCCAGAAATATCTGGCAGAGGGTGAAGAGATTTTATCTGAGGTCAACCAGCTAGCAAATTTCAAAGCCAGAGCTTCCCCAAACTATTGCTATTACTACTATTATCTTCTAATGTCATAGCATAAGAGAATGCAAGAGCTGGAAAGGAGCCTTTTGCTCCTATACTCATCCAAACTGGCCAAAGGTAAAACAACTAACCATGGTATGCAAAGGATCCAGATGCGGATATTTTCACTCACTCACAAGTGAGTGAAACTTCCCCCCCCCCCCCCCCCCCCCCCCCCCCGCGCAGCGGGGGGGGGGGGGTGTGTT